CTGCTGCAGTCATTTTATTTATACATAGCAACTTAAGAAAAATAGAAAGGAAGGTAAGTAACTCTAACGTAAGGTGTGTGTTTTTAAAGCTCTATATCCAAAAGCAAAGGCAAGGGGAAAGTAGATGTATTTTTAAATGATAAGTTGCTCATAAATTCTGTTTAAAATCTGAAGTGCTGAACAATTCATTTTTCATGTACCTGAGGCATAAAATCTCAAAAGTGCATGATAAGCCTTTTCAGTACATTCCACTATGCAAGCTTTTTAAAAAACAAAAACAAAAAAACCACACACAAGTAAATGCTGGGAAACCAGTGAGATTTTTTTAATTTTCGTGTCATGAACAACTTCATAGCCAGACTTCTGAAAATTAAATTTAAATAGGTAGCAGTTGGATACTCACTGAAAACAGATCCCTTCTCAAATAAGGGATGCATTTCCCATTCATGAACATAATGCAAAGGAAAACAATCACCACACATCTGCCGATAAGGAAATGAGTAGCAGACGGTTTATTTCAAATGCTGAAAGATTAGTAGCTTCCAATTTCTATGGCAGAGTATTTCTACTGTGCAGCTGGAAAAAATTAAACTTCGATTTGAAACAATAAAAGCAACATGCAAAAACACTGCTGTCTTTCCACCCACACCCCTTTGTGTCGACTGTGCTACACAAGATACAGCACATAAAATCTTCTGTTCATTTTTAGCATTTAGACTGGCATTACTTTACAAAGGGTTTTCACTTTCCAATCCATAACAAAATTCAAGGCAATCAAGGGATACCTTACATCCACAATTATCCACAGCCTTGCACTGACATTTCACCTTGTTTAAAAAAGAAACCCCAAACAGGTTGTGGAGCAATTGGGGAAACAAGTTAACATTCCACCTAATAGAAAGCTTGTTGTTTGGAATCTAAAAGTCACGGGGTAGAATTTTTAACTACTGCAGAAAAGAAAACATAGTACAGGACCTTCTGTTTGTGACAAAATTACCAAGTTAATGTTCCTGAAAGATCACTTCACCTTTTAAAACATGATTTTTTAAAAAGGTAAATTTATAGCAATTAAAGCTAATGAAGAAATGCAGTACTAGCTGCTTATATTCAGGAACTAATAGGTCCACTGAGCATTTCGAAGATTATTTAGCCATCAATGATAATGAATTGACATTGTCAGTGGTGTTAATGTACCAATGCTCTAACCTGATAGCCAATCCCAGCAATTTTATGTTGCCACTTTATTTTTAATCTACAAAATACCCTATCTTTTTGGTGAACATGGCAGAAATATAGCACAGTGTATTATGCTACACACACACTAAAAGGTTAGCATATTAATTATTTGGCTGACAGTTCAAAGTGCACTGACCATCCTTCCTGCTTCGAATTCTCCTTTGAATTCATTACAATTTGGCAGATGACATTTCTTTACCAATTCAGCCATGGTTATGTACCAATAATTTTGATTTGTATCAGATTAAAATTTATTATTTTAGCGGTTCAGAACAAAAGGCCTATATGAGGAAGACTTTTGTGAATTTCTCTTTCCATTAGCTGCCACTTGCACAAGTAACTTGACAGTATCACAAGTTAATTATGTAACATGACACAAGAACAATGATATGAAATCTCTGGTTATGGCATTCAAAGGAACTTTGACAAATGACAGATTTAAGTGTCCTGTTTTTTTCGAATGACCAAACACAACCAGCAACTTCTCTCCCCCCTTCCCACTCACAAATATGTAAGAAGATACTAACTGCAAGGGCTGCATCAGTCACTAAAAAAATGTGTGTCAATGCCAAACCACCACCACCAACCCACAGACAATGTATAGTTGGCTACTCATAGGCAAGTTCAAGTTCTTTTTCTCAGAATCCATATTTATTCATTGTCAGGCCAAAGTTATTGGTAAGTCAAGAGCGTCTTCCGCACAGAATTGTTGTCATTTATAAGACAGGCGGCTGCCAAAATGTAGCGTACACTGGTGGCATTCACAGCCAAAGGCCTGGAAGATCCTCCTCCGTTATTTTACAGTGGATAACTTTCATAATTGCTTCCACTGAGTTTTAAAGCAATTCAGCCATCAGCTCGCGATCCACTCCTCCCATCAGGAAATAAAACCACCCTTAGCAATCTAACAGCACTTATTTGTATAGCAGGCACGTGAATCGGTGAGTTGCATTCTAATTTGTTTTTGAACATTTCACTCACTTTGTTCGCAAGGCGTGTTTAATTGCAAGAGTTGACGGGATTAAAACCTGGCTGAAAAAATATTCCTACCCACCCACCTCTCTGTACTGGCGTGCACTGTGTGATCCATCTGAACCTCTGCCATTCTGCGTACTAGTCATCAGGCTTCTGCAGCAACTTAACTTGTTTTGAGGAAAGCGCTTTTATATGAAGCATATATTAGCTAATTCTTTTAGCATAATAACATTAAAATACTCTTTTAATAGAAGCGCGGTACTAAAACCCACCTCTGAATGTCCTATGATGTACCATATATGCCATGGCATTTTAAAACCTTTTAAACATTTCTGCTAAATTAATTAGTTTTGCATTAAAGAGTCTCTGAGCCTCCCTATTAAATGCAACACATTTGAAGGACAATTAAACATTACGAATGGTCCTTTGGACGGAATAGCCATTACAAGGGGGAAAGGGAAGAAGAGGTTTTTCTGAGGCAATACAACATACGCAAGATGTCTCTGGTTTTATATACATACACACACACACACACACACACACTCCTCTCGTGTGCAGCAATATACGCAGTTCTTTGGAAGTTTTCTTTTCCTGTGTCTCCTGCAGTGCAAAAACTCCACGGGAGCCCATAATCTGTTAACTGAGCTCAAACTAGAACAATATATAGCACAAATGCATGTATGTGCACATATACACAAAACACATACCAAATTGAAGTCTATATTATTTTTCATGCCTTTAAAAAGGAATTTACAGTTCTCCCTGGCAATGTGAATGAACATCCTATAATTTAGTCAATTTACAGATTACAGGTTCAAATTGACCTTGTAGCCCATAAAATTGCTCATCTGCAGTACTGGATTAGAAGTAGGAAAAGAATGTCATAACTGTATTTAAGGAATTTACCATAACAATGGGAAGGAGGATATGCATGCATAATTTTAGCCCCTCTTGCTCACATCCCCATTTTGAATGCTGAAACAATGCATAGCCTACACTCCTCTCTGGTTAACCAAGGGAGGAACGGTTTCAATTTACTCACCCACAGACATGACACTTGTATTCCCTCATCCCAAGGTGCCTCTTGACATGGTTTCTGGCATCTCCTAGTTGAGCTGTTGCAAAGTGGCAAATCTTGCATTTGAACGGCTTTGATCCTAAGTAAAATTTAGCATAAAGATAGGAGTTGAATTAGAATATTATATTACCCTTGGATAAAGAAATCACAGTTTGTGAAGAAAATAGCCTTTTAATTTTTTTAATTTTTTTATTTTAAGTGGGTGGGTGTGAAAATTAATATCCAATATTTAACCTGTTTCAGAATCTTGCCTAGCCCTGAAAAGAAATTTTTCTATTGCATACATTTATAACTCCAGGGATACCGTTAGGGTACGTGCCACATATTTCTCATTAAAGATACTTCCCCGAAGTTCAAACACAAAAGTTAAGCAAGAATGGGTTTTCATTAATGAGCACTCACTTATTATAGAAACGGTATCGATAATTAGAAGATGAGACACTTGGGGAACTTTAAAATGAGGCCACTAAACTTTTTCCATAGTTTTCACCCATTATAATGCGGCTAGAACTCAGGTTGCAACCCAGCAGGAGCCTGTTCTAGTTCATTTCAAAGGAACTCATACTGCAGTGGTTTCTGATGAACTGTGCCAGGCCTCACGGCCATTTGTTAAGGTGGAAGTATCATGACAAGGCGATCTTTCCCCTCCACTTGTACTCAAAGTGGTCTTGCAAAAGCAAAATCATAATTCATTACATCCTAGAAATGGCTAGAAAAATGGACTACTGCAGATCATGTTAACCTCGAGTTTCACCATCTAGAGAAGCTTTCGCAACATTATTTGCCACGGCTTGTATCCAATGGTGTCCCTCTGCTGATGGAACACTCCTGGATTTAAGGAAGGCTTCCATTTGTAGAAAAAGGGGTGATTTTTATTTATTCCCCCTGCACCTCTGTGGCCCCACAAAACAGCTTCAGAGGTCGATCAGACACTGTGGAACAATGTGGAAAGTGTTGCAAGGAACTGCATGGGGGAGGATGAATTGGAAAAAAAAGTTTTTCCTTCCCATTCTTCAAGGGGAAGTCTCTGCTGGATCAAGGAGCCTGAAACAGAAGGTAAACCACTGGATACAGCAGAGATGAGGAACCTGTGGCCCTTCAGACGTTGCCAGACTAAAATTCCCATCATTCTTAAACATTAGTCATGTTAGGTGGAGCTGATGGAAGCTGAAGTCCAATAACATCTTGAGGGTCACAGGTTCCCCATCTCTGAAATACTATAAAGAAGTATTTTAAGTTAACTTTTAAAAATGGTTATGTGACCTGAGAGTTTGGGAACTTCCATACTTTGCATGAATGTTGTATGCCATGGTCAAACATGGGGCTTCTCAGAGCCACCCATGTATTTAACTCTTAAAATGTAAAGGGTTGCTAAAGGCCATTACTTCAAAAAGAGTGAGAGCCACTCCTGCTTTCCCAGTGTATCTGGAGTTTTTCTCAGATGCACTTGTTGTTTCCAGGCATGGTCATGATCAGAGGAGCACAGAAAGCTGCCTACACTGAGTCTGGTCCATCTAGTTCTGTATTGTTTACAACAGCGTTTCCCAAACTTGGGTCTCCAGACTCTAATCCCCATCATCCCTGACCACTGGTCTTGCTCGCTAGGGATGATGGGAGTTGTAGTCCAAAAACAGCTGGAGACCCAAGTTTGGGAAACACTGGTTTACAATCACTGGCAGGATTTCAGACATGGGTCTCTCCCAGTCCTACTTGGCGATAGCAGGGATTGAACCTAGGACTTTCTGCATCCAAGGCAGATGCTTTACCCCTGAGCTACGGAATTTCCTGTGGGTGGATGTGCTTCATGTAGAGGGTGCTAAGTGAAAGATTGCTCACGCACAATTTCCACAAAAGTCAACCAGCTTCATTTGGTAAGAACTGGTGTACCTTTTAAAAAATGTTCAATTTGTAAGATAAATATATTTGAGCAGATTACCTATTTTGAATATGCTACACTCTCTGATAAGGAGTAAATTTAAACCTTAGTACCGATATTTTAGGCCTATCTTGCTCATACGCTTTTTTCCCCTTCCTTTTTGACAATACCGAAAGAATGATTCATTGCCTTTCTGTTGCAATGACATGCGGTGTATGAATATACAGTGAATAAAATATTACACCTTTATGACTGTTTTATGGTCAGGAATTTATGATTATTCTGAAAACTAGAAGTATTGACATTTTGGCTATTATTTATTTCAAGAACAAACTTTAACTGCCTAGAACAGACCAAAGAATTATAGGATTTCCCCACCCCCACCCCACAAAAAAGCAGAACTCGCTTGTTCTTTTGCAACACAATCAGGCCAAGAAAAAAAAAGTAAAACAGCACACTGCAACTGAAGTTGACTTTCTGATCAGATTGAGGCAATTATATTATCACAAAAATGCAGTCATTAAACCTGGCAGGTGTCAGTACTGGGATATTAAGTGGCAACATATCATTTTAAAGTATGTCATGACCCTTTCCAACTTTTATAAGACCAGCAGATCTCTCTATATCCATAAATCCCAGAATTGCAGTTAAAAGTAAGTGCAATATGCTTGCAGATACTTCATATTATATTTGGGATATGTTTTGTGAAGAACTTCCTCCAATATAGTTAAGCATAATATGAAATATGGGATCTTTAATAAATATACATAAAAGAGCTCGGATAAGAAAAATGTTACAGTACATCATACTTGATCAATGAACCTTTCTGCTGTGCCCTTGAACACAGAATATCTGCAAAGAAGACTTTGTTTAAATTGAGGATCTTGGTTAAAAAAAAAATTCAGAGTCTTAAATTTCAATTTAATTCCCAAAAGCTGACGAAAAATGAAGCATTTAATTTTAATCTTCGAACAGAAATAAAAAAGTCAACAGTACTAAGCACGGGCAGACAAGGTTGAATATTTCACAGTTCAATGACAATGAAGCCAGATCTCTTAATACTTCCATTTCTACTGTTAGAAGTAGATGTAAAATATATTTAGCACCTGAATGGTTATATCTAGTCAGCTTTATATGTTTAAATGTCAAAAGCAGGTTGAGTCTGCAGCTAACAGCGATCACATTCTATCAATCAAACTGGAAAATTCCAGTTTATTTAAATTATCCTGATAAAACTGAATTAACCATTAATTTAGCGGCATTCCGTATCAACACTGCATTCTATAAAGGGACCTATGAAAATAAAATAAATTTGAGTAAAGTCAGTCTACCTCCACATTAAATACAAAGTGTTGAAGTTGACGATCTAACTCACCAGTTTAAAGACTGATTAGGTAATATATAATGCCAAGACTAAGACTAGCTATGGTAAAGCAGTCTATTCGTATTTATATGTCCATTTTATTTCAAAAAGCTAAAATATCCTGCAGCTTCAGCCCCACTTTCATTTGGATTCTTTTCCCAACGGAAACATGTTAAATTTGTGCCATTTCTGTTATCACTGGTGCTCCATGGGCTCTGACCACACACTGTTCTTCTTTAAGCGTCAAAATTCCAGCAATACTATTGGGCCCATTCAACATTTATGCTCTGAAACACTTACAAGTTTGGGGCCAATTTTGACAGTGTGCGAATCATTCCTTGCAATGTTACATTAATTTTTCATTATCAACAAAGATTGTAGCATCAACAGCTACATGTTGGGTTATGATTATCATTCCGTAATTTGAAAGATGTTGAATTATAGGTTATTAATAGTTAAGTCTCGTGCATTTTTTAGCAACTAGGAGGACCAGGCCAGTGTAGTTTAGTGGCTAGTGTCATATTATTACTTAGGAGACCTGGGTTCAAGTCCCTACTCAACCATGAATCTCACTGGGTGACCTTGGGCCAGTCACTATCTCTCAGCCTAACCTACCTCACAAGGTTTTTGTGAGGACAAAATGGAGAGATGGGAATGGGGGGAACCATGTACACCAGAGGAAAGATGGGATAGAAATTCAATACATAAATAAATATTGGCAATGGTTTTAACAATCAATTCCACAACCCCAATTGCCCACCATGAAAAAATGCTTTAGAAACAGAGAGGAGTTCCAGCATGGGTTTGTGGTACAGGGCCAACTACTCACAAGAAAAATGTCAAACTAGGCCATTTTAAGAGTGTAAATTGTCACATAGACCAGGGGTGGGATGGGAAGGCTGATCTCTGATGATTTGCAACAAATCATCAGTTTGACATTCAACGATCTAAACACAGCAATGCCTAAAAGACTCCCCCCACCCCATGCCCTAAATTAGGCTGGTGAAATGAAGAACACTTGGGAAAAACCAGGAGTTCTACCCAGAGCCTTTTTTCCAGTTCTGGCACCTCTCAGGTGGCCACCAGTGCCATTATAAGAGAACAAGGAAGGCGTTGGTGGTAGGTTCTGACAGCTCTTTTTCTAGAAAAATAGCACTGGTTGCATCCAAAGCAGTGCTGAGCAATGCATCCATGACTGGACACATTAGTTGGCTACGTCCCCGGAAGTTGACTTTTTGTCCTGGGCTAATAATGCCCTCAGTTCTTAGTATATGCCAGCTATCCTGAGCTGCTATTTTGAACCTGGTCCTGGTCCATAGCCTTCTAGTAGAAACATGTAAGCTGATCTCAGAGAGCTGAAGCTTGCCCATCCCCGCCATAGAGCTTTGCCACTGTATGTCTTCCATTCCTTACCCTGTCTATTATCTATGGCTAAAACTCCCAACTATGCCTTGGCAATTAGTGCAATTTCATCTTTCCAGTGCACCACGCCAATATCCTTCCTACCTCTTAAATCAATTCAAAGTCCTTCCACTAAAATGTTGCCTTTTGTTTCAGTTTTTAGCAGAAAATAAGAGATGTTGAGAAGCCAGTTCTTGAGAAGCCAGGCTCCTCCCTCCATCAGCTGTTGCCTCAGGGCAACAGAAGAGAAGGAGAGAGAAGGGATACAGGTACATTCCCATCCATGCAGTGGAAAGACTGGTACCTTTCAGCTCCTCTTCTCCTCGATGTTTCCATCCCAGCTGCTTCTTAGAAGAACTGGTAACTAAAAACTGGTACCTGAGTTTGCTTATTTCCCCCTCCATCTCAATCCATTTTTCTTTAGGGTCATGTCTTTTTATACTGCAAGCTGCAGGGGTAAGGACTGTCTTGTTTTCATCAATCTGTAAACCACTCTGTGAGTCTTTTTTTGGCTGAAGAGTTGGGTTGTTGTTGTTTTTTAAAAAAAATCAGATCGATAATGACCCTTCATCTCCTGCATCCTCACTGCATCACTATCATTTTCTACATCAATCTCATAGGTCATTTTCACAACGCTCTCCTTTTGGCCGCCTTCCCTCGTTCATTGCCTCAAGTTTGTCTGCTCATTTGTGCAAGCTCATCTACGGTGTGCTCATTTCCTCCTTCCCTGCTCCCATTTTCATGACATCAAGACTAAAACTCCATCTCAAGTCCCTGAGCAAAATCAACTTTCTCCACAAAGCCTTGCCAAATCCATGGTAGCCAAAATGTTCTATGCTTCCTTCTTCCCAAGTTCATTATTCTCCTGTCCTCTTCCTTACACTTTTGTTTTATTTACACTGTAAACAGGCATCAAATTAGACCAGGAAATAACCGATTAGCAAATAAATGGATGCTAAGTAAGTTCTACAAATTGGGAGTTACCATTTCTCTTAATGGAATTTCCAGCTAATAACTGGTAAAACTCAAATCCCAGCTGAATTACAAACATAACATTTTCGTTAAAGGATCACACTTATTTTATAACCCACCTTTGAGAAGAGTTCTTACAAAATGGCTTCAGTTCTATCTTTCCTTTTAAAAGTTTGAGCAACTGAAAAACTAAACGCACAAACAACCAAAATAAACATAGTGAAGCACACATCTCCCCAGTTTTGACTTTTCCATGACTACTCTGCCATTTACTATCTACAGTGGTACCTCTGGTTACGGACTTAATTCGTTCCGGAGGTCCGTTCTTAACCTGAAACTGTTCTTAACCTGAAGCACCACTTTAGCTAATGGGGCCTCCTGCTGCTGCCGTGCCACTGCGGCGCAATTTCTTTTCTCATCCTGAAGCAAAGTTCTTAACCCAAGGTATTATTTCTGGGTTAGCAGAGTCTGTAACCCAAGGTACCACTGTATAGCTTTAAGACCTCTCACTTTTTCCCACAGAATGAATAATGTTTCAATATCTGATGTGGCCCTTATTTTAAAAGAGACGATTCCCATTTAGGCCACATATTCACAATCCAAAACCTTGATGGCTTCACCCAAAGTGCAGTTGCTCATAGCATATAAATGGGGCTACAAATTGAATAATAACAATATTTAATAATAATTTCATCTGCTGTCATAATTTTGTAGTCCAGGAAGACTACATTTTGTTGCTATTCGATCATAACTCTGCAAAGGTCTTTAGCTGTAAATTATCTTCAGAATCAATGGTGTTACTTAAAGCTTATGAAAAGGGAGATGGAAATGGAAGAGTGAAGTCCAGATCTTGATGAAGACAAATCACTTCGTACAGCTCTCATCTCAGAACCACTGTCCTAGCACCACGGAGCAGCAGAGATAGATTAGCCAACCCAGAGATTAAGGATCCCTTTTTGCATCATGTCAGCAACATGGAAACAATTTCCCCATAGCAAGATCCCTTTCTGCTTTGATCGTTGTCAGACAGTTGTCTCTGTACAGCCAGGGTAGGGCAGCTATGGTCCTTCAGATGTTGCTGGACTGGAACTTCCATCAGCCAGCTGATATTGTCCTATCTGGGCAACAACTGGTGGGAAAAGATCCACAAGACTGGCTTTACCCATGTGCTTGT